AATTACTGTTAAAACACTCTGTTTTTAGACCGCAACAAAAAACAATGGACAGAACCATCGGCGGAGAAAAACACAAATTGCCCTCTACACCATACGAGAAGTCTTTTCGGAAGGCCTCAAAGGAGAGCAACCGCCGCCTTCTGCGGAAAAGACACGGGCAGATACTGGAGAAGGCGGGCTTTCAGCCGCTGCCGTCGTCTCCGAGAAGAGTGTCGGACGAAGGAGATGGCACGACGCAGGAGCCCTCAGAGAGCACGAAGAGGTATCTGCGGCGCCCAGCGAAACCTCCGGCGTCTCATTTGACCCCTCCCCGACTACCCCAACCCGAACAAACCACTAAAAAATTCCTAAACGGATGGCGTTTCCGTATGGTTACCAATGGTGCTATAACCCCAACCACAACCGAAAGTAACCCGGTAAAGAGACCATAACCCGCTTTTCCCCCCTCTCCGAAACCAGACCCACGCAACCGAACCCAGAACCTCGCACGAACCCGAATACCCCCAGGGAAATCCAGACTGACAACAACAGCAACAAATGACAAAAACGAACAGAGGACGAATCGCGACTATTCCGAATCGACCTTAAGACAATACCTAGACCGACGGAACTAATCAAAGACCTAAAAACACTTTGTAACAACCACCTGACCCCAAAAATGCAACCGGACGAATTACTTATACAACAACCACTGACCGTGACAGCCCACGGAAATATAAGAGACAGACTTGACCAAATTTACAAATGACCCAGACTGAAAGGCTTTTTTCACTGCCGAATATCATATCACTTCAACAGAGCGACGGACGAGCAAAGAGACAAATTTGTAAAAAAGGACTACCGACAAGAATACTGATGAACGCAATCAAGAACAACCTGACGCCCTCAACATAACAGCTCACCAACATAACAGAAAATGCAAAGCACGGAACACTGACCGGCGACGCCTGACCCCAATAGGCCTCTACACAGTTGAAACAAAAAAAAAGAAATGACTGAATCAAAAAGACACTAAGAATTCATTGACTACTTCAAGATTACCATAGACCGCTACAGACCAACTGACAGAATACCTCAATGTAGAACTGTCAGAGACTCTACCACACAAAGGGCCTATTGTAGAAGGCAAGCGATATGTGCCCTCTGCGCTGGTAAAACATCCAACTGACGACTGCCCCTCCCATACACCAATACCCCCTTGACCCCCAAATGTACCAATTGTTCTCAAAACATCCCGCCTATGACCAACAGTTTGTGCCCCACAATAGTTAAAGCCAACAAATTGCGAAAACGCCCAACTGAACGAAAGTCCCAACCAACCCTCTCCCCTCAAACAACCCCTTAAACTTCCCCCCTTAAGACCCCAGAACCAATCCTACGCCTCTGCCACCACCCTCCCAATCACAAACAAACGTAACTCAACAACAAAACCCCTCCTCAACCACCCAGGACATAAAAGACCTTCTTCTTAGCGTATAGTATATACGAGAGTTAGCTTTGCAGTGTTCAGAGTGGTGACGTCAGTCCTCACTCGTCGCGCGCAGCTCGCTCAATCTAAGTACATGTGTAATTTATTCTGTTCTATTTGTTTAAAATTATTGTAATTATATTATTTCGTATGGTATTGGGCAATTTTTGTAATATATATCCATTGTTTGCAATGTCTAGGTATTAAAAATCGCTCATTGTCAAATATACATAATTCATTATTGTTAGCGTTTCTAGAATAGGTATTACACTCTCATTAGTGTATGGTGAAATGTAATTAATTTAATTTGCTTAGATGTACGAGTTACATTTCCATTCTGGAGATAATATTAGAGTTTGCTGTATGTTCAGAAGAGATAACTGGCAATATATAAATGAATTTGACTTCACCAACATTAGAAGATGGAATTGTATCAACAGTTTTCCTACAAGCCCAGCCTTCTTGTCTTCTCAAAGAACATTCCACAAAGATTTTATTACAAAGTGCTCCAGAAAAAGTGCTGCCAGTCTCAATGATATTGTGGACAAATTTATTATTTCAGCCAAATATATCAAATAATAATTGCCTTGTTTAGAAAAACTTGCCTAACAAGAACTGGAAATCTATTAATAAATAATCAAACCAATTTTGAATGTGAGCAATTAAAAAACTTTTGTTTTGGAATGTCTAATAAAAGAACTGTGTGTAATAAATAATATACCCTGAATATCTAAAGTTTATTTTGAAAATTAAAAAATATTAAGGACACTGTCCAAATCAAGTAAAATACTTTTTTGCATATTTCGCATACTTCAGTGCTACGAAAGGTTAATATTATTCACCTTAGCATATTATGCTTTAGATCATTTTTAATTAAATGTAGCCCAATTTGAATTGGTGAATGAACAATAAATCCTGTAATATTATTGATAGTTACAGTAAAAATCTAATCCAATTTTATTACATATACTGTCAAAATTCCGTCACCAAAACAATTCAGTATTGTTCTGCCCATTTGTAGGTTTCAGTGAGATAGTTTGTACGTGTATTTGTGGAAATATTGTCATGATGTGCAGTAATGAATCAGATAACTATAGAAAATAAAAAAAAATCTTGTATTGCAGCCTAAATCAAATTCTGTGCCAATTGCTTATTTTGTTTTCAAGTTAAGAATATTCCCAACCCAAAAGAAGATTGCCTAAAAATTCGGGGAAACAGGCCAAAAAATTGAAATTGTTATATCTTTCACAAATTTGTATTTCATAGACTTTTTTTTTGTAAACAATGCAAATTCACTCTTTAATCCTAGTACACTAAGCATATTTACTGGTATGTTTATACTAACTTCAAGGCATCATTTATACATTTGTTTCATTTTCCTTGGTTTTTAAAGACTTACATAAAATAGTCAATGAATGATATTGTATCAAAATTACAATTCTATTTTTGGCTAAAAAATGTCTCTAAAGTTAAGGCTGGTATGATTTCAATCATGACTTAAATCAAATGATAATTTTTAAAAAATCAATGATTTAAGTTAATGTTTATTATTTGTAATATGTTCAAATATTTGAAAACAGTAGTTATACAGATAAAGACTTGAATCAATTACACAGTTTATATAAAGAATATATTATAATTTTCAAAAAATTTTTCCAATAAATGAACAATTTTGAGAAAAAAAATACAGTGTAATATGCATTAAAATGAACAATAAACATTTTGTAGTAGTTATTTACTAAGGGACTTGGATCGTTTAATCAATTAACATTGTCGTAAGTCAATGTTCATTAGAATGTGTTCCAATACATTCATTGGAAGATAATATGTAAATATTTCTAATTTTTAAAGTCTTTATTTTCCATTAATGAAATTAAAATCATTTCATAAATGAGAACAAACTCATTCACTAAACACTGAGTGAAGTAATTGCATTTTTGTTTATTTGTTCATCATGAATTGACTTCTTGATGTCTGTTAGTTTTGTATAATTCTAATTTTCAACATACTAATATATTATAATTACAGTACATATAAACCCAACGATACATCATTTTATTTATGAACATGTCTATAAATTAATATTCACAAAACCAAAATTAGCATTGAAATTCATCATCTACAGCAGAATAAGAGACATGTTTCTGTTTAAGCTGACAAGAATCACAAGAATAATATTAATATTCTAGAAGTTTCCTGTATGTCCATCTTTTTCCTTTATCACTCTGTCCCAGTGGTTTGTATTTCAGAGGAGCCTTTAGGAATCTTCCTTGTTTCTTAATAAATTCCAGCCCTTTCTAGAGTCTATTCAACTTTCTTTGTTGTTTTGTTGCCTTTTCGTTGTTTCTCTGTGGATACAATTCATGAAGAAATCAAAAATGATGGTGTTCCAATGTCAGGATGTAAGATAATTGAAGATTTTAATTTAAAGAAATTGGCATCAAATAATTGAACGGGGATCAACATTCCAACAGTTAGGAAATTCAATAAAAATATATTTCAATATTCATTAAAAATTGTTATATGTAACGAAGAAATTATTTAATGCTCGACAGATTACCATTTATTGGACAGACTAAATTTTCTTGTATAAAAAATATCTCTTCTGTAGAAGTGAGATTCTGTCTCACCAATTGTATCAAAGTGTGCAGATTTGATTAATTTTATTAGTACATACAATTTTATTAACTTTTATAATATTTCATACATAATTTACCAGTTAAATCTTGGCATTTTATGTGTTTCAACCATCGTTCCCGCATCTGTTGATTTTTGGGGAGCTTAAGAAAGAGCATCCTCCAAGACGTTGAGCACCCTCTTACGGAACATTTACCCATCTTCTGTAAATAATACAATTCATTCTTTGTAGTTAATCATAAGAAAAGCAGATAATACACGTGGATATTCCCTAAAAGCACCACAACGAGTAGTCGCACAACTTTACTTTGAAAATGCGCGCCAAAACGCAACAGCTGCGCTATCTGCATCAGGTCCGTGACCAAGGAAACAAACTTAGTCTTTCGCAAAGAGTAAATACAAACTTGGTCCTCCGCCTTTTAATATAGAGTGGACCGGCCCTGAACAGCTGTCCAGAGAGTATCTTACCTGTCAGTCAGCGCGTGACTGTTGTCAACAGCGTTCATCAGGTTGTCAGTGATTGTCTGCTTGTCTTTCGTCTTTTCATCGCGTACCAATCATTTGATCTCAAGAGATTTCTCTTGCTTCATTTTTCAGTCAATTTCCGACGTTTCTAAAAGCCGATTTAGTTCCAAAATTTGTTTTAATTGTATAATAAACAAAAGCAGTGTCGCAACGAACACCCAGCTTCGCAAGAAATGAGTAGTTGGGTGTTATTCGGGATGGGTTTCGTATGTTTCACAACTTGACCGTTTTGGTAAAGATCTTTATGTGCTGGTATATAATCAGCTGTCTGGGTTATCTCTTAGTCACAAGCTGGACAGTCAACAATCATGCATATTGAAATCGCAGTGTTTGACAAACATAGCTAATCCTGCAACTTAGGTTGCGTTAGCGCAGTCTATTTTAGGTGACGCACAATATATTCCTTCTGACTGAGGCACAATATATTCCTTCGTCTTTTTCTTTTAACGTGCAATTGAAAGGCTGACAACTGTTATTTTGTGATCTGTATTACTTCTAAATTTGTTATAATATACAGTGTATTTCATGTCATGATGTCTGTGATTGAACCATCTGTTAATGATTATGTAGAAATCATAAAACCCCTACCATTACGTCTCCGGTTATCTTATGGAATTGGACATGTATTAAATGATGTGTGTGCTTCTATGTGGTTTACATATCTTCTAGTTTATTTCCATTTTGTGTTACAATTTGATAGCATATTATCAGGAATTGTACTTCTCGTTGGCCAAGTTGCTGATGCATTAGCAACTCCATTTGTTGGCATTCAATCAGATATTACTGATGGATTTTGGCTCTGTAAATATGGAAGGAGAAAGTCATGGCATCTTGTTGGTAAGTGATAAAAGAAGAAAAAATTGTACAAGAGTATTATTTGAAGTAAGATGAAGTAGTGCAATGTACTTCTAAATAACAATAACGAAACATTTATCAACTTGAACTTCATTATGAGTTGATTTCATTTGAGAATTGGGGTTCTTTTTTTAGTAATTCTTTACTCTGCTTTCATGTCATTAAAAAATGTTAAAGCTGTAATATCTTTAAGAATAGTGTTTCAGATATTGCTGCTGTTTTTTAAAAGGTCATGGAATTGTTAAGCGTTTAAGAATTTTTTCAAATTTATTTTGAAATTAGGAATTACTAAATTGTACTGTGAAATAGTGCAGTTGGAATATGATTTGGTTTGGTGCAATGTTTCTTCTTGCAGATACGGGAAACAAACCTAACTTAAAGTTAATTTTTAGAAGCAGTAGAGAATATAGACAGTGATTCTGACATCCAGGAAAACTTGAATATTACTATCTTTGCACCTAACAATGCTAATGATAATAACACTGATGAAGAGTGCAGAGAAGAAGAAAATGCCACCATTAGTAACTTTGTAACTCAGGGTTGAGGCAGAATTTTTTAAAAATACAAATTAATAAATTGTAAATTCTGTGTTTCGGTCATGAAGAACATGGTGTTTCTCCGCGTTTTGATGAGAAAAGAAAGTGGACGGAGTTAACTTGAGGAAATAATTCTACCAAAAAATTTGCTTTGAGAAGGAAAGATATTACTATGCATTTGCCACAACTGCAAAATGTTTTAGGACATAACGAATTATCTCCTGTAGAAGCATTCTTTTGTTTATTGATGAGGTAATTGATCTGATAGTGGACTAAACTAATTGGTATGCTGATTCTCATAATCAGGAAGGTGGTGGTCAACAAAATGAAATGATCTGTTTTTTTGCCATACTTCTATTGAGTGGCTATTCAAGTGTGTTTAGGTATGAGATGTTCTGGGAATATGCTCCCAATTCCATGAATGTTTTCATTTGCAATGCAGTGTCCAGGAATTGTTTTAGGCAGATCGTTCATTGCAATGAATGAATAAGAAGTGATATGTAAATGGAATGAAACAAATGTTTCATTTGTGTTCAATGACAATTAAGTGTTGCTCACATTTCAGATAAAGCTGTTTTCCCAAAAAGAAAATAACATTATCAACAACCAAATATAATAAAGAAATCTAATAAAAATATTGGAGGTGTTGACAGACACGTTGACAATATTGTTTTGTAGTATTTTTACGTGGAAAGTAGTATCTTCAGTGATTGTATTGATATAGTTGAGCAAAACATCAATTCGATGGATTGATTCGATAGCAATTACATCAAGTCGACAGATGTAAAATCACCTGACCTTTGGGAGGGCAGTTGCTGTTGGTATTTTTTGTTGGTAACTTTGTAAAAATGCTCTATAGCACTGCAATCACAAGATTGCTTTGTAATTTACCACAACATAAATGAAATATTGTTTTTGAAACTCTTCATTATATTACTTTTTTTTCTCTTTACCAGTTAATACCTTTAATAATTTTTGTTTTTAATCTATCATTTAATTTTTTTCTTTTACATAGCTGTACATATTACCACTGCCCTTTTAAAAGGACACCCGTTTCTGAAGACTATTATAGATATAATATTTGTAAAAAGAAAATATGTAATTTTTCATTTTTTATACCATCTCTTGAAATGCCATGAAATCTCATGAAATGATGATTTACAACAACTTCACAATAACAGTAAAAAATTTAAGGCCACAGTCAGAATTCATGATTTAACTAAGTTTCAAACTTTTGGCCTTCCACTGGAGTGAATTTCTCCCTGCATACTGGAGTGAATTTCTCCCTGCATACTGAAGTTCTTAACCATGATATCTGTAAAGTTTCACAATTGTTTGGATTTAAAATTATAGATTGTAGAAAGATAAAAATGTAACTACAAAAATTCCATCTGTTCGTGTGAATTCATACTCTTCGGTCTTTGTATGTTTGATGCTACATATTTGCGATTGCAAGCATTTTATATGGTTTAGTGAGATATGATTCATTTTATGGAACAAAAATATGAATTCTGAGAATGATTTTAAAAGTTACATTAGTACATCTATTCTTTTCATAAACCAGTGCTCAATAGGTTAGCTTTGATGACCAATATATCCATTTGGAAAACTAGTACTTACGAACACTTGACCCTTTCGCTGCTGGAATTACTACTTCTACTCATTAGATGGGGAGAGGACCAGCAACTTGATTATGTTAGATCTCAGTGTTGATAAGTGTTCCATAAAATGAATGGTATGCGAATATATTAATGCACAAATATTCAAAGACTGTAGTATACTTATGTTTTGTAGTTAGACTTTCATCAATCTAAAATCCATTATTTTAAAAAACACGAACACTTTGTCAGACTGTGTGTAGTTAATGAGCACAAGCTAAAGTATGAAGGGAAAAATATCAGCAGTCTAGAACCAAAACTGTGGAATCTTAGTATTAGTCATGAATTTTGACTGTGGTCTTGAACTTTCAACCGACATAGTGCACATAATGTGTGGTTATAAAATCTTCAAATGAACTAATGAATTTTATTACCTTCCTTTAGAATACATTTTTGTTTTCATTATAATCAGTTAACAAATCTTGTAAAATTATCCAGGTAGTTATTTTTTTCTTTTATTCCATAGGTACACTATGTGTTCTTGGGAGTTTTCCTTTCATATTTTCATCTTGCATTCACTGTGAAAATAGTGATCATTGGGCCCAGTTGATCTACTATTCATCGTTTGTAATAATATTTCAATTTGGTTGGGCATCTGTGCAAATTTCTCATCTTTCATTGATTCCTGATCTGACACCCTGTGAACATGAACGCACTTCACTTACAGCTATCAGGTTAGTTGGATATCTCATTATTAATAACCGAGTTTCTATCTCATTGATGTGACCATTGTAATGAAATTTTATGTGCAATGTGTATTTCAGGTACAGTTTTACTGTGATTTCAAATATATTTGTATATGTCATAACATGGAGTGTTCTGCACATGACAGATGATTCGAATGCACAAATAGGATCCAAAGATGGTCACAAATTTCAAGTAAGCATGAAGGACTTGTAGAAAGTTGGCTGTCGTTTTCTATTTAAATTCTTGTAAACTGTCCTTGGTTTTCTAATCTACTGCAGAACTTCTCAATTAAAACTACAAAAATGTAACGTAATAATTTCTGTTGATTGTTTCAGATGATTGTATTAATTTGCATTGGGGTTGGAGCTGTAACATCTTTTGTTTTCCATTTATTTGTGAAGGAACAAAACCTTTACAATAGTGCTATTGCTAGTTCCCCTGGAAGCAAAAAAAGTATTGGACACTTACTTTCTAGTCTTCAATTATATCAAGTTGGAGCAGTGTACATGGCTACTCGTCTGTTTGTTAATCTCTCCCAAGTTTATGTACCTCTTTACTTGCACGAAACTCTTAACAAAAGCGCAGAAAGTTTAGCTGTGGTACCGTTGGTGATGTTCCTTTCTAGTTTTGTTGTTTCATTAGTAGTGAAGCCTTTGAACCAACGCTTTGGGAGAAAGGTGAGTGAATTGAATTTAATAAAGCCGTAGGTTTCTGTGTCTGTGGTATCTACTTGGCTATCTACACAGATGCCATCTGTGGCATCTCCCAGCCAACCTAGTACATACTGGAATTGAATTTAAGTTCACTGACTGTTTTTTGTTGTATTAAAAAATATATGTTTGAGGTGGATACAATTTAAAGAATAGATCGTTTTTTATCTTTTCTTTTCTTGTTAACTTTCTCATATACGTAATATAGAAAAAGGTTATTAATGGTGCAAGAAATTACAAATTGGTTAAATGTTTTCACCAATGTCAGCTAACTACATAATTGAAGGTGGATTTTGTTAAGAATACCCGTTGTTCAAAATTAGATCTTTAAATAAAGACATGTAGAATTATTTTAATAAACGAGTAGGTTTTTAGTAAATAGTAACAACTTTTTAAAAACACATGAACAAGATTTTTTCAAAGATTACTTAACATTCAAAATTTTATTATGCTCAAATAGGATAAAGAGTGCTTAATAGTGTGTTTGTCTTCTATTCATGAAGACCTCTCAAATTTTGAAAATTACAAATGTTTAATTACTCTTTTTCAGACTTTTTACAACTTTAATATTGAAGCTAGGGATTTGTTTGTTAAAACCATTCTTTAATATAAAAGATTTATATTTAATGTATGCTTTTTAAAAATATTAGTGAGTTTTGTGTATTTTGAAGTTGGTCTTCTTTGTCTCTTAACTAAACAGAGCGTGAGGGTTCAAAAATTGGGATAAAAAATTCCTATCTTTTTTGGGGGAGGGGGGGAGTTTATGTATGTATAATTTCTAAACTTATTGTTAGAATAGAACTCATTCACTCAATTCAGTGGCATGAACAGCCATTTTCATTTAAAGTTTTGAAACTAAAAAAAAATTAAAAACATTTTTTTAACTCTGATGCTCCATTTGTTTAGGATTATATTTCTAGTAATGCCCGAAGTGGATTAGGTGTGGCAAAATGAGTTAGAAGTTGCGAAATTGTAATGTTATGCGCAGTAGCATTACATTTGGTTTTTAGGAAATATCATTCTGAGAATCTGTATTGCAAGTCACATCTGAAGTGTTTCATTTCAAAAGTTTAAATATATTAGAATGTGTGAGAACAAAATCTGTAAGAAATGTGTAGTTTTAGATAAAATATGTGAAACTGTGTAATAATGTCAAAATATGTAAAATAAAATGCCAATTCCAATCATTCGGAATGTCTTGTTAACTCTAAAAAATTCTATTGAATGCGGGTATCTTGTTACTATAAAACTATGTATTTACATGGAAATCCATGTCCTAGTTACGATGTGAGTGTTCCTAATACTACAAGAAAGTATGATTTCTTATAGCACCAATAGTTTATTTTTGTTGTGTGAGGTTGTATTATGGTCAAACATTTAATATAGGAAATACAATGCTAAAAAATTGTGCATACTTAGTTTTACTTTTTTAAATTTTCTACTATATTTTGTATACAATATTTTGCATTATTCATCTGACTTTCTAATATGCGTATTTAATTTCTTTACAGATTGCATATTTCCAGGGAGCTGTTATAGGTATTGGTGCCTGTACATGGATATACTTTGATACGGGTGATATCAACTTTAAAACATATTTCATATACGTTGTAGCTGTTATGTTAGGTCAGTATTAATACCAGCCAGAGAATCCTTATCAGAAATTTACAATAAATTGATTATGAAATACATGCTTAATTTCAGGTGCTTCTGGATCAGTCATGTTAGTTACAAGTCTGGGTATTACTGCAGATTTCATTGGTCCCAACACTGACAATGGAGCTTTTGTCTATGGTGCCATGAGCTTCTCTGATAAACTTTCTAATGGTGTTGGTGTTACCATTATTCAGTACCTGTAAGTGAAAACTAGGAATTAATAGTTACCGATTCTCCACATGAAATTCTGTTAATAGTTGTCAAGTGTATTTTGTACTTGACTTATACTATAATAATTAATAATAATAATAATAATAATAATAATAATAATAATAACAATAATAATAATAATAATAATAACAATAATAACAATAATAATAATAATGATGATGATAATGATTATCATCATCATCATCATCACATTGGACCACTCGAGTCGTTCCACTTCACTTTCATGGTCGACTGTCAAAGGTTTTTTCACCTTGAGGTGAGGATAACTCCTCGAGTTACAATTCTGAATGTTATTCAGAAAGGTGATAATGAGAGATGGAGGATGATGGATGATAGGGGGTGAAAGGACGAACACAATACAACCATGCCCGAGGCGGGACTCGAACCCGCGATCTTTCGGTATGAGATCGCTACGCCACTATTGCCTTAGCGATCTCAGCCACAGAATCGGCAATAATAATAATAATTATAATAATTATTATAATAGTGCCGATCAGATGGCTGACATCGCTAAGGCGGTAGTGCCATAGTGGTTTTGGACCAGAAGATCGCGGGTTCGAGTCCCACCTTGGGCATGGGTGTATTTGTGTATGTCTGTATGGGTGTGTCGCCCTTTCACCCCTCATTATCATCATCATTTCATCTTTCATACACCCAGGGCTAGCAACCCTAGGGATTAAAAATCGGATTCAGCTAAATGTTGGTCCCCAATTAAAGTTACATGCACCTGCCACTGCAATAATGATACTGAGCCATGGTAAACGCAGGGTGCATGCATGCATGGTCCTAGTCAGCCAAAAAAGAGAGAGAGGCAAGTGTGCCCTGGATTTCCAGTAATAATGATAAATAAATCAAATTGTTAAAGTTATTTTCTTTGTAACTCAATTTTAAATGTCATTATTTAATTATTATTTTCATATTCTTATTGAACTTTGTATTTTTCTTAGGAAATGTTCTGCACATTCCCAGTGTGCACGCTATTATGGAAATGTCTTGGGTTTTGCGTGTGGTGGTGCTGCCCTTTTTGGTGTGATTAGTGTCTTTACTCTTGTTCCTTTTAAGTATAACAGAATTGGAGGTAAGTTTAATATTTAATAGTTTATGAAACATATTTCTAGTGAATATATTAATATTCTAGTCTAGTTTTAATAAGATTGCTGGTGAGTTAGAAAGCTCCTAATAATAAAAGAAAAGGTGTTGAATATGAATATTGAAGCAAAATATTTTGTTATCTAAACCTCTTTCTAAAATCATCATGAACATTACAAGGATTTAGATGGGTCATGTCAGTGCCTCTATGCAGTCAGCTTTGTAGTTATATGACTAGGCGTTCCTGTTGTCTCTCTCTTCATTGCTGCTTCTCTGCTCTCCCTGCTTGCTTCTCATTGCCTCTTCCCTACTATCTGCTGTTAGATTGCACTTGCTTTTGTCTTCCATTCTTTCTACATGTTCTGATCATTTTCGTTGGTACTCCTTTACCTCTTCCAATATGTTGTTTTCTTTTAATCTTTTTCTTATCTCTTCATTTTTGGGTCTGTATTACTTAATCCAGATGTCTTAGACTTCTCATGTAAGCTGCTTCTTACACTTCTCTAAGTCTCTAGTGTTACAGGTTTCATATGTTGATGATAGCTTTGCTGTTATTCTGTATATTCATTGTATTGTTATATATTCTTATTCTTTCCAAAGTATTCTTCAGTGTCCCATTTATCCTATTAATGTTTTTGATTTTATTTTCCCAAGTTCTCTTGTTCTTGTTCATTAATGTTTCCTTAGTAATAAAATTGTTTTACTTATTTAATTGTTTTCCCATCTGTTATCTTTATTATTTAATTCTTTGCCTCAGAGGTCCATTTGCTTGGTTTTTTTGCACGATATTTTCATTCCATAACTTTGTTTTATTTAGTTAATGTACTGCTTTCTGCTGTCTAAAATGAAAGATGGGGATTGTTTTGCAGGGTGGGCAAGGAAGGCCAAGCTTCTACTACAATCTACCAAACTTTTTGTTTATAACATCAAACTGTCTTACTGTCATTTACTAAGTTTTTTCTCAAAGTTATTTCTTATTTAAAGAAATTATTTTGGGTGAAGAATGTGAATCACAATAGCATCACCTCCTATTTCCACAAAGATGGCAGAGATATTCCCCTTTTACATTTTGAACTTGTTGCCAAATTACCGTGTAGAAGGAAAAGTGTTAAAAACTGAATTCCATACACGCTGCACTCACATTTGCTCTCAATATCACTCTCAATTTGTATTACTTGTAAATATAAATCTTTCTTTAATTTATTTTCTTTACTTCTTTGTAGGTAAATCTTACTCTCCAGTTGAAGAAGAACCATCTGAAGCAGAAAATGTTATATCTCCATCACAACAAACTTGAATGTACCTTAGTTTACTAGTAGTTAAAAAAAAAAAAATTGTTATTCTATATATTTGATAGAACCTTACAAACAGAATGCAGTATCCAATTAATTTCCACAATGCATTTTGATTCTAGATAATGCTGAGTCCTCAGCTAACAAAAAATACTTTCTAGGTACAGACAAACTCGATGACAAAGTGGCCAAGAAATACACAGTAGAATTCTCATTAAAATATCAATTTAAAAATCAGAAAAATGGAAACAGAAGCCCCTATTAAAAATTTGAAATGAAAATGATAAGAACATTGTTGCATTGGTTTCTCATGTGAAATTCATGGCAAAATAGATATTTCCAGAGAAATTAATATTATTTTCTTTGAAAAAATTAATGTAATAATAGTGCTAATAGATGTTTAGGTTCTCTATAAGAAAAGTTACGAGTTTATCATCCTTTTTAGCATGATCTTCCCAAATCCTCACAATCCAATGATCAGGAAAACACACGGAAAATGTGTGTTTGGTGTGTGAGGTAGTAACTGTTAAAACATGACTCAGACCAGTGTAAAGTTAAATAATTTTTTTGATAATCTTGAAGGTGAGGAGCCCCAATGAATTTTATAGTCAGACAATTGCATAAACTTTATTTTTCGGGTTCATAATGTCAGGTCTCATGACGAGTCCTGAAAAATAAGAAGAAGAAGGAAAAAAATAATAAAGAAGTTCTTACAATTGTCTGACTATAAAGTTATTTGGGGCTCCTCACCTTCAAGAATGTCATAAAATATTTGATAAAGATAGGTTAATTACAATACTTTTTCAAGAAATTAATGAATTTTGATGACCACAATGGTACAGCTCAATTGTTTAAATCAAGTTAGATGACGTCAGGCTAAACAATTTTTCGTATTTTTATGGGAGTTATAATAGATAAAGAAGAAAAAAGCTGAGAAAACAAAAGAACAGAATGAAACTAAAAAATGGTAAGACAGAAATAAATGAAATCCTAGCTCTTGAAACTTAAATGCATTCAAGTCAAAATACAATGACAAGACCTGACAATAAAGATATCTTTACCACAGTCTCCATAGTTTCTAATGCCTTGATGGAGATGCAGTTTTTTGTCCCAAAAATGCAATGCTACTGGTCTGTTTGAAATTTCTCTGATATAACAAAAGATCTGTGGCAATTTGCTCATAATTTTCCATGATTAGTAAACATTTTTTGTCATTACATAATAATGAAATTACATTATAACTGAAAGGTTTTTCATCAGTAAGGGGTATTGTTTTTGTCATAAATATAGATAAAATTTTGGCTGTGATTCTGTATTTGATTACATGGGCGTAGATTAGATTGACAATATGTAGGTTATAAAAGAGTTATTAATTTATTTTTCATTGTAGATGAACAGTTAATGGTATGAAAGATGTTGAAGCAAAATATTTTGATGTACTAGTGGAAGGGTTTACCTGATAGTGGCTTATGTGCCTGTTCCTGATCCATGAAAGAAAACAAACTGTGATACGTGTTTTAGCATTTATATATTAATATAATTTTGAAAGTAATAAAAATTTACTAGTTTGATTTTGCAAGTTACTACACAAAAGGAATTACTTTTATGCCTAGCATACACAATCATTTTACTTTATATAAAACAACATGAAACTATTCTTTTAAATTTCTTTAAATAAGTATTTTAATATTTGAAATCACTATGAATAATTTTTAGTGTACAATGAATCTCGATATTTTTTTGGTAAGTGATGTTTGAACATGTTTGCTGTTTAGTTTTAATGATGTAATTTTGTGACTCTTGTACCTTGCGTCTTTCTAACAATTTTCACATATTGGTGAAAATCAATTCAGAAATAGTGAATAATATGCTAATTACATTTTTTGTGATTTGATTCTGTAAAGAAATTGCAGTGTTCTTGACTGAAAATATCAAGTGAATTTGAAGTTTATTTCTTCAGGAGGGTAAAATTATAATAATTGTTTTGTTTTCACTGTAAGAACAATTTTTTTTTGGGGGGGGGGGACATATGGGATTTCTAGTGGGGTGACTACCCTTAGGCATAAATAACAATTAATGTATTTTTTCACATGAAATTTGTATTATGTCGATTTTTTTAATAACGAAAGTTTTCTAATAAATATTTGTAAGCACAACTTTATTGCAATTTGAGGGAAAGCAAGATACAATATGTCCTTCGCAGTTGATTTTAAACATAAATTTTGTTTACTCTTTTGTATGTGCTCTTGTTAAGTTTATTATTTATTTATTTTAAAACAATAGTATGCCAGGGGCACTCAAAAGGGGAGACATGGTGCAACTTGACCCAGAACACAAATTAATTGGGGCCTGTTAATTTTTTTTCATTTAAAACAAAAAATATATTTAGTTCTTAAAATTAACTGCTATAAGTTATTTCTGTCGCATGAAGAAATTGTTCTGTTTATGTATCGGAGAGGAGAGGTAAACTTTAGTTTGAAAATGGATCTATTGCTCTGGACCTCGTGTTTTTACTGGGTGCCCCTGCAGTATGCACACCATTAACTCATTTAAATTATATATTATTTCATATATAATAATTATTATGTATTGTTTTGCTTTAAGAAAGCACTTTTGACTTTTAAAAACAGTATTATGAAAAAATGTAAACAAATAAATTTTTGAAGAGAAGAAACCAAATTTTCTTTATTAGTTGAACCCATGCAAACATTCCACACTTTGTAAGTCATTGTTTTAAATGTGAAAATATCTGCATGTTAATCCAAGTATTAAATAGTCCTTTTTTTCCCCAGCAATTTCTCAGCATCATTTTTGGGTTTGGGTTATTTTATTATTTTTGGTTATTGTTTTTATAGCACTCTAGAAGGCCATGCCTAAGGTTCAGCTGAACTATCTACTACTGTTTGCTGAGAGTATTGTCTATGCAGGTTTATACTTTTTTGCCATATGATTTATCATATGTTTTATGTTTTGTCAGTGTACCTTTCCGTAGAAACTACCCAGTAGATTTGTGTAATTATTTTCTCATTATGTTGCACCTCTTATCTATTAATTTCTTTCTTGGATGTTCAAAAGTATTTTTGTTGTAACTATTAGTTTAATGAAATGCAATACCCTCATTTTTGAGGTTTTCATAATGAAGAGTACATTTGGCTATAAATCAAATTAAGACTTTTGTAAATACCTTTTCTGGTTCAGAAGATAAATATCTCTAAATTTAGGAATGCTAGATTTAACTGCATCAATAAATACAAAAGAAGTAGGTTTTTAAAGAATGAAAATAAAATTTAAATGCATTTTTTCATCATTTTCACAAAGTTGTGATGAGATGACCTAGGAAATGCCATGTGTTATTAATATCTTTATATGATCAGAAGAGCAGCAATAATTACCCCCTTGGGATAAGGTTGTGAGGAACAAATTATTTTGCATAATATATCTAATTATTTTGTATACTCTGAATTCTTACATTTCATGAGCAGAAATTCAAGTGAAAAATTTGATGTCTAAGTAATGATGATAAATCTCATAAGCAATATTTTTAACGTAAAACAATTGATAAAGACATCTTTGTTTTCCACATCAATTTTCTAATCCTAATATGAATTTACCCATTATTTGCACAATGTATCCTACATGATTCAGAGATGCTAAATATTACGAATTACTTGCTATTGATTACAAAACTCATCTACGATAGATGCTCAGTGGTAATACTATTATGGTATATTTTTTTAACGTTTAAACCAATTTTTTAAAGTCATTAACATTCTTAAGTCTTATTTGAGTATCACAGTTCACCAAAGGGTGTGAAAGATCTAGTGGAGTAAGCCTGTGAAAAGTGCATGCAAGCAAAATAAAGTAATACGTTTTGAACAAATATTCTGACTTGAAATAACATTTGTTTCAATGAACTCTAGCACCTGTTTAAACTACCACTACAAGAATGTGAAATGTTCTTAAATAACAAATTTTCCTGAGTATAGATATTTCCATCATAATACCATTTATTGAAAAAAAAAAAAAATCAAATTTAAATTAATGAAACATTTCCCCAAAAGTAGTATTGAAAAAATGAAGTAAATTCAATTATTAAAAATTTGCTAACAATAAAAATAACCGTTTTCTGCGCTTCTGACAAGAGTTCTGGGTCACAAACCAAGATTTCTGAAGTTCAAATAGACTTTTCTCTTCCGACGTCAAACATGAGAATTATTCAATACTTTCCTGTTCACTTTTTGAACTTGCATATTAAAAAGAGCAGAATATTAAAATTGCCTTTTTTTTTCAGTTTTGACAAGAGTTCTGGGTCGCGAACGAAGAGTTATAAAGTTCGAATACACTATTCTCGTCCAACGTCAAACACTGGAATTTCCTGATCATTTTTACTTCCTCCGTGTATGTATACGTAGATATAGAGTATACGTAGTATAAAAAAAGTTAAAGTAATGCTGCAGAAAATCGATTTCCATATTTCAACGGAAATACACTTATTGAGGCTCCCAGAAATCGAGAAAGTGTATTTTTTCTCCAAAACGTCCATCTGTGAACAACCCTAGCGCCTAAACTATTCGTACTTTTTTCTTTCCAAAAATGACGTACTTTTATCCCGGTCGATCTGGGCGGACTTGAAGTTCTGCAATTTTGAAAAACATTCTTTAAATTGAAGGGTAGGCCACAGACCGTGGGACATTTTCAATATTTTCACCGGCTTAGGTGGCTCAGGGCATCGATTGATGTCACTGCAGTGCCTCTGACTGGAAGGTCATAGGCTTCGAGCCCGATTCAGAGATCGCAAAATATTTATAATTTTCAAAACTCCCCCGCCAGTTCACCCACTTCACACACCTTATGATTCGTGATTCGATTCACGATTCATAGATTGTACCCGGTCCAATTGCAGGATCCGTGTTCGGGTCCTGCCTGCGGTTGAAATAACATGAAGGTGCAGTAATTCTGTAGAGAAAAGTCAATCACTATGAAAAGTGCTACTGCAGGTTCGGGTGTTCCACCTGGCCCTCCCAAACTCGCACCTAAACCTGGTAAGAAATGAAAAGCTAATTGTACACGAAGATGTGGAGAAATATTGCAAAACTTCAACTTTCTTTCACCACGCCCACTGTCAGTTTACCACTTTTATTATGCAATAAAAAAACCTGCCACGAAAAATCATCTTCGATATTTTTTGTTTTCCTAAAATTTTGAAGTAATTTTTCTGAGATTTTTTTTCATTACAGGCAGTGTGAAAGTAATGAGGGCACTTTACAAGTATGTAGCCCAATATGTAAGTAGGAATACTTTATTTCATTAATTTATTTATTATTGTTTTGATTAATTCCTGTCGATATTAATCCACAATACTTTGATTTTCCAAAAGGATTCATTTATTTAACATTAAAAAAAAAAAGTTAAAAACTGTCAACCCTAAGATGCTGAGAAACTTTGCTTTTCAAATAAAAAATTTGTTTGACAGTTGAAATAATGAAAGAATTTGCACTCCAATTAAAATGTTTAAAAGATGGCATGTCAAAATTTTAGTTTCTTTTCTTTAAATAAACATAAAATATATTAAAAAATACATAAAATATGTAACTTATGTCAAGTGTTTCAAGCAAACCCCATTTTCACATTTCTTGATTTATTTTACTCTAATCAGAAATCAAAGTATGGCAATAGGGCACTCTACTCAGGTTTGGTAGTTTCTTGTCGCTAAAAAATCTGTATTTGAATGAATGGTTTTTTTTCAGCCTGATGAATTGTCTTTTCAAGAAGGTGATATTTTATATGTTATTGACCAAGTGTCAGATCCAAATTGGTGGAAAGCACGATGTGGCAACCAGACAGGTCTTATACCCAGCAATTATGGTAAATAATTGTTCTCCAGTCTTTTTCCTATATCAGCCGTTACCAGGTAATGAGTATGATATTGAGATTATGTTGTTTACAGTTGGAGATCAAGTGGAAGAAGTGCAAACACCTTTGCATGAGGCTGCACGTCGTGGAAACTTGAATTTTATGCAAGAATGTCTTTCTCAGGGGGTGTCAGGCACAGGGTTGGATCATGCAGGAAATACCCCTTTATACTGGGCTTGTCATGCAGGTCATGTTGATTGTGTAAAAGAATTATTAATGCTTCCAAATCCAGCTGTTAACGCTCAGGTAATAACCATCAGTAACAAAAATTAGTTGAAATTATTCTCTGTATAACTGAAAAAATGGGTACCTGAAAATTACAATTTCATCAAATTTACTGATATAATGAACACAAATTTTCCCTCTAAAATAAGTTTTTCTTGCATCAAATTCATGCAGTAATTAATCTCCATAATTCAGTGAGTCAGATATTTACAGTTTTGTTGAATTATTCCGACTGATTTTAGAATTTCTCTCAAACATTAATATATTTATTGTTGCTGAGAGAAAGGTATTTCACTGGAAGAAAGACATAGAAAGTAAATTTCAAATATTGAAGAGAATGAAATAAAAGAAAATAACATACTGTCGATAAGTTTTGCTCTCAGCCCTGAACATAATCTTTTGTAAAATGGGTCAAATAAGTTGACTTAAATACCCACATTACCTGATGCAACTTCTTTTTCTTCAAGATTCACAAAATGTGTGTTTTAAGGTGAAAACAAATCTTGTTCTATTAAAACAGTATTTTCTTAGTTTCAAGGATAAGGGTGAATATCAAATGATGCAGGCACGGGGCTTCACTTTTACTCTGATGGCATTTTTATAATCAGTTCAAAGCAAAAGTTACCCTACTTCAGTTGATAGCAAATTTACATGGAAGGTGAATGTTTAGTATTATAAATTCTTAAAAGTTTGGAGAATTTTAGTGAGATTTGTTGAATGTTTGCACTAGTGAATTCAGGTAAAAATACAATTGTATATTTCTTGAATTATTATGAAAGGCCAAAAGTGGCGTTACTGAATGTGAAATTTAATTCAGTTTGAATTCAACTTACAATACATTATGTATTTGTTAAAATTGTCAGTTATGTCAATAATTATTGTCTTGATTTGTAGAACAAAATAGGTGATACACCGTTACACTCAGCTGCTTCCAAAGGACACCTTACTGTGGTGGAGCTGCTCTTAGAAAATGGCGCTGATAGTTCAATTCGCAATAAGGATGGAGACACTGCAGAAAATCTGAGCATGAATTCTGCTATTACAAATTGCATACAGCAGAAGAGGGCAAATTTTATGCAGCAAAGGCCAAGTTCTTATTCATTGGAAGATTATGAGGATGATTCTGATTGAGACTCATCATTATGAGTGTTGCATAATTTTCTGTGATAGATGCACTAATGAGAGTATTATTCAAACGTAAAATTAAACACTGCACAAAATGTTTTAGTCTCTCAGGGTAATAATATTGTAGCCTTACTAAGGGCTAATGAAATAAGTACTATTTTGATACAGATAATGGACTTTATTTAATTGTTAAACTGTAAGTAAGGAATTTACTTAATCATGAATAAGTAGAATCGTACAATTATTAGACATTTCATTTTTTTATTACCTGTTAAAATCATATTTTCTTTCCAAAATTTGCCTGACTAGTTTGCAAGTAAATAGTAAGTATCCATTAAATATGAAATCTCAATATTTTTTTTTTTTTTTGCTTAACTTTTAGAAGTCATCTTCAAAATAATTCATCTGCAGTCTGTTTATCTTCTGCTTTCTGTCATTGTTACAATATTTCTAATAAGACTTTGAGAGAGGCAGAGACTATTTTGTAGATATCCCCAATATTTCATTAACATGGTCAGATATATTTTTAATTTAAGTTAATCTGTCACTGACCACAAGATAATTAATCGCCTTTTCATGCATTTGATGTAGTTTATAGATTCTTGATTGATGAAGGGAAGGTAATATCTTCAAAGGGGGGAATTATTGAAATAAAATGGATTTTCAGAAACATTCCAACTAGGTACACAGAGCTAATTTAACAATTCCATTTATAATAGACCCTTTAGCACTAAAAATGTATTGTGAAGTGAAAATGATTCATTACTGTTATAAAATAATTTTAAGAACCTGTAAGTATAACTGTTATTGAAGGGTTGTTCTGTACAGTAGTATACAATGAAATTTTCATTTGATGATAAATTTGAAATTAATAAAAACTATCAGTATATAGGTAGAAGTAGAAAGTACAAGTTGTGAAAATGTGTGGGTGGTAAATGGTGCTCATTGAGCAGGTTACATTTGCTTTTATTTACAGTAGCTACACCCCAACGTGTAGTCCTGTTAAAGGATATCAATTTTGAATCTGATAATTTTCACTGAATGAATCATTTTGAATTCATCATGGAGTATTTGAGTGAAACTATTTACTAATTGCAGCACGTGTTAGTTTCTTGAATTGTTGATGTTATATATGTAAACTTGTTCACGCCGAAATAATGCCTTCAAATGTGCAATGATGTATTTAATTGAAAGTTCAATATTCATGCTGATAGGGCAAACTCCATAACTTTTTAATGGGAATTCATATCAAATAATTTATATTTTTTAAAATATGTACATTTTCAATAAAATGTTACCATATACATTTATTGTTGATTTCATATTTAGAATTATACATTTACAGCCATATTAACTTTTAGGTATAATTTTTCTTCTTCAAACGCATAAAAAACACCATATCTGTAAACAAACAAAGTTGCATTAAAATTTTTAAACATGTTCTATTAGTTTTACTGTACAAAAATCATATATACAATATATATTAGTGAACCTGTTTGGTTCACTATATTCGAAAATGTTAAAATTAAATAGAATTTCTCCACAATGATTGATTTTATTAATATATACAGCACAATGCATGAACACCATGAACTAAAAATTTCAGTATCTGAATTTGTCCTTTAAAAAAATCAATAATTTTCAATTGTTAGTTTCATACTTTTTTCCATTACAAATTTCGTTAGATCCTTCTCCATGCTCTTGCCCCACTTGATCCTGTATTGTCCACTCCCTGTAAGTATCGTAATGCAGTTTTGGCACCCTTCGATACCTTGTGCACTGTTCGAAGCGGCTAGGCGCAAATGGCTAATGAAACTAACCGCATTTTCATGCATTATGTGGGTATTGGGAAGTTGAGACAGTCATGTGGTTTGTCACCTACTTAGTATAGACCACCCTTTGACCAGCGGAATATCATGTAACATGCTTGAAAATGAGTGGCATGAGGTCATTAGTATGGTCCCCATTCTGGGTCTGCTACGTTCACCTCAGGAGAGACATCTTCGATTATGAACTTTGGCAGATATATTTTTCAAGCAGCCCAGTATTGGAATTTTTGGCACAGAGGTGATATATAACTTTTAGAAGGGAATTAATTTCAAGGTTGTATTTCCTATAACTGAGGTTCAGGTGCACTACAACTGCATCTTCTTATGCTTATTTGTAACAATAGTGAAACAGGACAAGTGACTTAGGTTCACTATATTCAAGTTGACAGGACCATTATTACTATTACAGGAACAAGATTTCCAGAAGGTTGAAGAAACACTTTACATGGAGAGGAAATTATTAGTTCGACAATGTGTTCGTTTATTAGTGTCTACTGATAATGATTTTGTTTTCTTTTTGATAAGCTGATTTAACTTTTCTTTTTACAAGAAGTTGATTTATTTTTGTGTTAAGGAAATAAAATTTATTATTTTTACAAATTAAACATCGAGAGAGTTCAAAAGATAATCTTATTAACTTTTTTAAAGGTTTTTTTCCACTCTACTTGAGGGGAGGTGTACTTTAAATTCATTCACTTGTGTAGATCTGAATTGTCGTGTGCGCATGCGTGTTTCGGTGAGGGGTGTGTGTGTGCGCATGCGTGTTTCGGTGAGGGGTGTGTGTGTGCGTGTGTGCGTGCGTGTGTGCGTGTGCGCGTGCGCGCGTGCGCGCGTGCGCGTGCGCGTGCGCGTGTGCGTGTGTGTGTGTTTGCGAGTATATATAATGAATGTTCGGTATCCCAGAAGTAGGGTGAAAAAACCATTGTTAAAATAATTTAATAAGATTATTTTGATGCACTCTCTCAATGTTGAATTTATTAAATTAATCATGCACAAGGTATATATTTTGAGATGAGTTATATTCATCTTATTCTGAATATGAGAAAATATTAATAAAAATTCAATGGACACTAGAGAAACATTAACTAATACGAAAAATTAGCAAAAAACAAAAATAGCACAAGATTAAGAATGAAATAGAAATTATGAAGAAAAGACTTGATATATATTTTGAGAAACAACGGTGAAAGGCATTTACAAATAGGAGTGATGGAGTGGATAACAAATGAAAAAGTTCCAAAAAAGAGGTCTAGGGGAATCATTATGTTGATTATTTTGTATTTGAGTAATTAGTTTAATTTGACAAAGGATGTCAGTGGTAGAATGGTAGCATTTTGGAACTTTTAACTAGAAAGCCAAATTTTAAAAATTAGATTCTGTATTTTTGAGTGTACAGGAGAGAGCTAGATCACAATGGAGGATGCAGAGAAATGTTTCTTAGTGCACCAAGGATGTTCATTGATCAACATGGCAGTCGAAAACCAGCAAAAGGAAAGTGAACATTTCGAAAGAGAATGAATAGTAACGCACAAGGTCATTGCATAAACTTAAGGTATAAAAGTAATACATAAACAATGGCTGTTAACTTCCAGTCAGTTGGTTAAGTATACAGATCAAAAAGTGGAAGAAATGGATGTAATTGTATTTTTAATTTAATGTGAATGTGATATTTACTTTCTAATTAGAATAGTTGTTATAGTTATTTCATTTGGTTGTATGTTATTTGTCTGGTAACTTCTCAAGTAGTTGAGTAAGAATAAATTGCGCATAAGTTATTTTAAGCGAATGTGTTTATTTGATGAAGAACTTGTGTTTCCATCAAATATATCCAATATGTTATATCAGCCAAAATCTTGTGAAGTAGTATTTTAGATTTTTCATGATTAGAACAATTAAAAAAACTCTTACATGACTTTCTAAATATGTTTGGCAGATTGAATATTCAGTGGGTAAGTGATACAACCAAAATATATACAAAATTTAATTTTCATTAATGTTAAATTATAATTTAAATTGTATTCATTTATATTATTTTGAGATGCATCTTGTTTTATCTTGTTACCAGTTTCAATAATTCCCCCCTACTTCTCTTTTCAAAAGTTCAATGCATGTTATACATTGCTAGAACTCTGCAATTTATTACTTAATTAGTTTTGGTATTTTATTAATGAAAAAAATGACCAGCATAGATGATTTGAAAAATATTTCATTAAAAGCAAAGAAAAATTCAAGCACAAATTTAAATCAAATTATGTGAAAAGAAACCATTCCCATTCTATTCCCAAATTACAAGGTTCTACATTTATGGGACAAGCAGATCGAAGGCAGAATATAAATACTGGTAAAAGTGGTTAAAAAGCCAGGTGGAGAAATACCTTAAAAAATCTTTTTTGCTATCATTAACTTTGCCTGGATGAAAAAGTGAATTATTTATCAAAATCTCAATTTGTGTGTGTGTGTGCGAGTGTGTGTGTGTATGTAATTACAAAACTTACATTGAAAAGGAAATAAATTGTATTAGTACTCACTAATGAAGATAACTATGACTACTAGAATCATAATCCACATCCAACACTTCCACGCACGTCTGCTATGTTCCTGTAACCTCTCTGATTCAACTTTAAGACTTGATAAATTTTTATCAGCCATAACTGATGACTTATTTACAGTCTGAAATTATCAAACCATTAATATGGATACATGCCCAACGAAATATTAAAGCATTAATTCATCAAAAACTTACTTCTGTATCTTTTTTAATAATGCTACCTGCTAATTGGGATTGTTCTTTGAGATTGCGTGCTAAAGATAACATATCTTCTGCAATTTTTTCTTGCATTGAATGGTGAAATTTAAAGAGTGCATCAAGATCTTCGCCAGTTGTCTTTTGTTTTCTCTGTCTAATTTCATCAGAACCTGTGTTAGATATTATACATTAAGATTGATAATTATTTTCATTTTCAAACTAAAAAGTGGATATATACTTTTGTCACTTTGAAAGAGCTGATCACGCAATTCCTTGGTATATTTTGATGTTGTTTTTTGATGAATCTCTTTGGTAACTGTTTCTGTGGATGCTACTGCCCCATGAGACAGTAGTTGAGTGGCAACAACTTTTTCAACAGGATTACTCTAGAATGGTAATTTAAAAAAAAGTTGTAATAATGTAAAATTACAGCACATAATTAAGACCAGATAGTATGTTTAACCTACTAGCTTATGGGTTTCACTGAGACCTTTGAGGAAATCAACTCTTCTCACATACTCTGACATTGTTTCTTTGTTTGGCTTTCTGAAAACAAAACTAATTTTTAAGTACATTAAACTTTTTAAAAAATGTTACAGAAGCAATGTAATTTATAATATCTTACACAGGTTGACTCTGAAGACTAGATACCATTTCATCCAATGCAGAAATATACTATATGAAACAAGAAAAACAAAGTCAATGCTTCAGAGGTTTAATGATTAATACAACAACTAGTGGACCTTTCTATGTTCACAAACCTTATGAAGTCTCCAGTCTTGAGAATCTTCTTTGGCCATATTCTCACATTGCGATAACAATCGTCTAACATTTACTTCCAACCGAGACATTCCCATTTCTTGTTCTAAGGGAAAAATTAAAAGCTGATGTAAATGCTACTTTCCTCTTTGACTTAATCTGGAAACAACAATGCAAACCATAGTATTAAAGTTTAAAACAATGATATCACTACAATTCTACAATATTTCAGCTTATGAAGTTTCAGTGACACAACATAAATGAAATTTTAATTTTTAATTCTACAAGTCCAATTGGAGGGGTGGGAGGTGTAGATAATAAGCGTAAGCTTGAAACAAGTAGATAAGGATATCACAGTAGTTTCCTCTTGCAGAGCTTCAGACACATCCTCTAGTGGAAGGAAGAACCATGTTTCTGGTACTGGTATTATTTTGTAAATTATTCCTACATTCTGTTAATGGAAATAGTACTGAAGGTATGTAATTGGATGCTCATATCAAGTTTCAGAAACAGTTTATTTATTGACTCTGAACCAATTTATACAACATTTTGAATTAATTTTCAGTAAATATTCAAGGCTGTAAACGAGCAATTACAACGGGATATGGCTACAAAGTTGTGTATCATATTCAAGAAGCTGGAGAACACAGTGACAACCATCTATTATTTGAATTCTATGTGAAAGCACCAAGTGATGCACATATTTTGCTATCATCTACAGAAAATGCAGAAACTCCCACACAACAAGATGAAAGTTATGAAATTGTACTTGGAGGAGGAAAAAATTCATTTTCAGCTATTCGCAGCAAAAAGCGTGGAGGCAAATCAACTGCAGCTCAAACTGGAACCCCTAATGTTTTATCACCAGAGGAATTCCGAGGCTTCTGGATTAAACTAACCCCTCCTGGACGTTTAGAAGTAGGAAAATTTGGAAATGAAGCACCTTTTATGTTTTGGGATGATCCATATCCTATTCGAATTCGATTCTTCGCATTCTGTAACTGGGCAAATTATGTTGGCGAGTGGGCTTACGGTTGCCCAAATGAAACTCGTAAGCATTTCATTTTAAATAAAAACAATGAAATTTTCCGAGTAGACTCAAAAACCTTGTAAAAGGATTTTCAGGAAATAATTTTCTGGCTTGGTGGAAGAACAAATTTAACTTAAATACAAATCTTATGTAGTTTAAACATAAAGGTCAAAGAGATGGAACGATCTTGCATCAAGTCACAAAATTATAACATATTATAATAATTATTTTTGTTTTTCGCTTTCTTTAATAAGACGTATGAATTTAAATGATCTCGTATGGAAAGGTAATTTAAATAAGTGAGTTTGTTATTAACAATAAAAAATATAATTGGATCAATTTTAAAAAGATTATTATTCCTCAATTATAACAATGCTATATCTACAGAAGCTGACGAAGTGGCAGCAAATTTAACAACATTAGAAAAACTCAGAAGTCACCTTCTTACCCATTATGATCCATTCAGTAGGCCAGTAATTCAAATTAATGACTTCACAACAGTTTATTTGCAATTACTGAACAAGGCAGTAAAACTCGTAAGTATGAACACAAGGTATTTCAAAAATGTACTTTTGATCAAAATTTAAACTCATTGATTGTTCACTTGTAGGATGAGAAGCAGTCAAAAATGACAGTAACAGCAGAAGCAAAATTGGTAACTAAGTTTTGATATTTCAATACTTTGTTGTTTCTATTTTGATACATTGTATATAATGAACAATAAGAATTGTAACTTGTAGCAATGGCAAGACCAAAAGATTCAATGGGATCCAAATGAATACGGAAACATCACGAAACTAACAATGGTCTATCATGACATTTGGCAACCAGAATTATTTCTTTATAAGTATGCATCAAATTATAATAATGCAATAAGAGTTTTGTACAAAATAAAGGTATTGTTGATAAAATAATTATTTTTGTTTGAAGTGCTGTAGGGTCAGGAGCAACATTTCTGGTAGATGACGTCATGACTGTATCACCAGTTGGATCGGTCAGGTGGAAATCTCACTTTCAAGTTGAAGTGCACTGTAATATGGATTTAAGTAAATGGCCTTATGATACACAAGTCTGTGAATTGCAGCTAGGGTTCTGGGCAGACCAGAAATATTTGAAACTTTTGTTTGGAAACGAGGTACTCATTTTTATGTACAACTTTTGCCTTTTGAAAACATTCTTATTACATTGTAAATTTATTGCAGCCTGAGAAAGAAGCTCAACAAACAAATTCAGAGTGGGAAATAATTAATTTGCACTATGAAAATATTCACATTAGAACTCCCTGGAGTAACGCTTCAGATATACCACGGGAAGCATTCATGGCAATTCGTTACACCCTTAAACGTAACACATACATGTACAGAGCTGTTTTTGGAGCTCCATTATTAGGTATGACATGTAATATATTGACATTGATGCATGCCAATAAAATAATATTTTATATTAAGTATTATATAATATTACATATACTTATTTGTCTGTTTTAGCAATCAGTCTTATGACTTTATTACCATTTTGGATTTCACCATTACATCCCCATAAGTTGCATATTTCATGTTTGAGTTTGATTGTAATGTCGATATTTGTGATAACTTTGGCTCGAACATTGCCTGCTCCAGCTGATCATGTTCCAGGTCTAGGTAATTATTTTTATTTTCAACAGCTGAGCATATTAAATTGATTTTTGATTATTTTTAATAAATCATAAAATGTTATTTTTTAGTTCAAACATACAGTCAAGGAATGGTTGCAATTACATTTTCTATTCTTGTATCAGTTGCAATCATTACAATGGCACGTTCCAATCACGAGCACCCTGTTCCACAAATAATACAAACTGTATTAAGTAGCAAGTATGTGCAGTTTCTGCTCTACCTAACAGCAATGCCTAATAAGGTAAAGAAAACAACAAGTAAATACAGCGCTAACAATAATATATACATTTTATTATAAGTTTCTCTGGTCTCTACAGAATGCTTCAGATTATGGAAACCTACTGGAAGCTGACAATACCAATATTTCCCAAAATGATGATACAAATTCCGTTCACGATGTAAATAACATTCAAGAGCAATGGATATCATTAGCACAACTTGCAGACAGATTGTCATTTATTATTTATACAATTTATCTTAGCACAGTGTTCTTAACACAGGTATAGAATGCATTTAGTTGAAAAAACACAGGTCAAACGTAGTTCTTTATTAAATTAAACATTTATTATCTTTATTGTCCAGCTGTCAAAACGAGGTCAAAACGTCCGAGTCAAAACGAGGATGTTTTGTTGCAAACATGTACCGTCACATCTAAATAAAACTGACACGATCAGAATTTTTTCTTTTTTGTATTTTTTGTGCTACGCATTGGTGATTCAAAAACTGCGAAGTATATTTAATGACTTAATATGTAGGGAAAACGGACGCGGGAAGCCAAACATAATTCCTAATGTCACTTACGATTAGAACCTGAAGAATTCGGGCCTGAAGACCTGCACCACGTAAGTGAAATGTCAGTTAAGGGTCCTTGACACTGGTTTCTTGAAATCAAAGAGTTCCAGAGAAACCCCAGTCCAAAAGCCTGATCGATCTAGAAGAATTTATTAGGAAAACTGTCACTTAATGCTTTTAGTGTAAATTAGAATTCTAACCAATTCTAAGTATTCAGAACACGACGCGAATGCACCAGACAGCACCTGGACAGCACATTGTTCCGGATAATTTGTGTGCTCTGTGTGTAATATACTCTCTGGTGCTCTGGCGGGAGGCTGAAGAAACTGGTTGATAAACAAACGAATCGCGTGGTCCCAATGGGATGAGGGAATTTTAATTGTACGAAGCGGCCATTGCAAATGTCCAGCATGAAATAAAATGTGATGCCAGTAACTATGATTTTGACGATTACGGTGACGTCCACTCGAGATAAGCATAAGATTGTATTGTAAGTTCACTGAATATTGCATTAGATCTTTTTCTGGCTAATTGTACAATACACATTCAAAATCAAAATGATATGACGGCATCAAATTCATTTTTAGGAACCAAACTAATTACATTGAAAGTTTTGAATGGACTTCAAATTAACAAAACTGTTAACTAATAGTAATTCAATTTTCTTTTTTGAAATAATCAACATAATAAAAATATAATCAATCAAAATCAATATAATAAAACAATGAAAATTGATGTGAATTTCAGCTTATTTCATTAATAAAGAAGGGAGTAATTGTTTTGTCTTTTTAAATTATCTTCATATTTTTCAGTATGCACAATTGAAAGTACCATTCTTTATGCTTTTAACATTTCATGCAGGAAATTTACTAGCCAAAGTGTTTAAGGACAACATTGAAGAACATTTTCTTTATAATAGTGCAACTACTGCATTTTTATTGAGTCCATAGATCATACTAATTGAAGGAAGCTGAACAAATTAATTGATTGAATAGATAGTCAAACCTTTCATTGTATTATTGTCTCATTAAAAATTACTCTTGTACATTTTACTGTTATTGGGAATGTTTTCTAGTATGTAAATATGGTTCTGTATTTGCCAAATTTGCTACTATGGTAATGATGTACTCATATAAAGAAATAATTCTTAAAGTGGTACATTTTGAAAACTTTCATATATAATATATATTCTATAAAAGGTTTAACTACTCAGCCGTTTTTTCTTTTTTCAATGTTTCTAAGATTCCTCAAATAAAAGATTTTTTGGGACCCTGCAGTTGGTTGACTTATTGTCTTGTGTAAGCAAATTATTTTTATTGTATTTTAAAACAATTGTAGGGAAATCCAAATAAGTACTTTATTTCTTTGTATCACATGAAAAATTAACTTAACCATCTGAACGTAATTGAAATGAAGGTGATATGATTTTAACTCTTTTTAGTAAATGTGAATAAAAGTTAATTTCAAATTAAAATAATGAATGTTTGAAATTTTAATCTTTTCTCTATAGTGACTCCTTGATTTGCAGGCTTCTAAGTATTCATACTGTGTAATTATATTATAATAAAAATTCCCTAGATATGCCAATTTTAACATTTCATATCCTTTTCCCTTCATATCTTTATTTTGAATGCTTCTCTATTGCAAACACTTAACTTCACGAATTTTGCAATCAGGACCTTACATTTTACTTCATGACCTTCTTTTTCCCCACTGTATCCACACCCTCCGTTTGACTCACCCTATTACCTGAATTTCGTCCGATCCAGCGTTGCCCCGGCTGCACAGACTGCCGATGCTCAGTCCTCCCGGTGGTCGTCGGCCGGATGCGTCTAGCCTCACCCCGCTTTGCCCATCAGCAAGGCGGTCGGGAGATAGCTGCGGCGTGGCAGCGTTGACTGGCGTCCAGGCATTGGCGGCATGATTCGCGGCTGCGTTAAGCGCGCCCCGGCCCAGCGTCACTGGGCTCGCGGTCGAACACTTATGGTCATGACCCACTGCGTTTGTTCTGAACCAGCGTCCCCAGAGTCGGCATGAGATGTGGCGATGAGGCAAGGCATTAGGGCAGCGGCAGTGCATTCGCTGAGTCCCCCCGTGAGTTGAAGCAACTCGCCCTTGCCCCCACCTTGGCAAGATCCACCTACTCCTGGTTGTGTCTCTGATCAGAATGAAAGAGCGAGCGTCTTCAGAGTCTCCTCGAAGGCTCCGCGGGTCACGTGGACCGTGGACCTACCCCGCTTCATTTCCCGCGATGGGCGGGCACGCGTCACGCGGTTTCTCCCGCCGTATCGGGGCGTCGTTGCCGAACGCCCGCGTCTTGCCAAATTCTGCGAAACTCGAACGTCATTCAAGTTCCGAGAGAAAGAGCGCAGCAGCGACGCGTCGCTCGAAGGGAACGGCTCGTATTTTCGAAACTTGTATTTTCCCGAGAGTCATCGGATGCTACCTGGTGTGGGTTGCGCTGAGACAAAGGGACTGATTTCCACGGCGTCCCGATAGCGCATGCAGATCGAGAAAACGGCACATTTCATGACGTCCTTACCAGACGCGTTACAATCAATATAATTTTATAACACACGCATCGCCACCTGACGCGTGCGACCGTCCCATTACACCACCTTCTTAATGGAATCCAACCAGATATAACATTAAGCTGAATACGATTTTTTATTATTATTATTATTATTATTATTATTATTATTATTATTATTATTATTATTATTATTATTTCACATAGTTTACTTATTCGAAATCGGTACCAATTATGTTCCACTTCTCGCAGAGTACTAACCTCACCGATTTAGCCAACATAACACTACGAGTGTATTTTTATTTTCCCGTATACGTACGTATATACGGAATAATATACGTTGTATAGGGAAAGTCATGTAATGATGCGGAAAATCGATTTTGATATTTCAACGGATATACATGATTTAAAGTCTCCTGATACCGAAAAAGTTTTTTTTCAAAACGTCCGTCGTCTGTCAGTCTTAGCACTAGCGCCAAAACTATACGTATACAATATTTTCCTAAATGGATATTGCCCGGTCGATCTGGTTCCACTTGAGGCACCGTGATTTTGAAAGACTTCAAAATTTGGGTGTACTTTAATGAAACCCCGCGGACAAAATCAAAATATTCAAAATTTTCTTAAAAACGACTCCAAATGTTTTCTTTAAATTTCTTATAAGAATAGAGTAAAATATTCTAATAAGGGTACTATAGGTCCGATTTATACGGTTAATTCTGAATTTACAAAAATTGCAAAAGTGAATTTTTCCGCGTCTTTCTACAACTACAAAATTAAAGGCAGAGGTTTTTCCTTCCTATAAAATTTGTTGTCCGTAATTATTTCTTTCATTAATGTCATATACATTTTTTGAACACTTTAGTAGTTTTGGAGCAATATTGTGTGAAATGTTTGCAATTTAAAAAGAACAAGATTTTCTGAAAAAAGGCTCCAAATATTTTCTTTAAACTTTTGGTGGGGTTAGCGCTCAATGCATTCTATAAGTTCTTTGAACGGCAAAGATGGCGGCGACAAGTTCGTCGCGTGAGACCAAAGGAAATAGAACACTAATACGAGAAAGTCTGTGCCATTCTGTAGCACCACTAGTTTGTCATTGATATTATCGTAGGATGGAGTTAATACTCGGATGAAAGAAAATAGATTTAAGAGAAGTAATAGATTTCATCTAGAATCAAGAGAATTCTTTTACTTTAAGAAGATTTGACAGCCGATTATGATATTAAAAATTGGAAGGTCACTTCGATGCAATCATAGACAAGCAGTGAGTGCTGCGTGGGTATAATCAAGGCAAGCTCGTTGAAATTGTTCTTTTCTGCGTAATAGCGGAAGTGTGTGTTGTAGCACCTCTAGTTGTGAGCACGCACAACGAATATCCATGAGTGGATGGAAAGGCGTCGCGTTTACAAATCACACTTGAATTATATAAATTACTTGTAAGTTGCAGTGACGCTTCGCTACACGGGTCGAATTTCACAAGCGATTAACATAAAAAATCTTTGAGTCTGTCTTCAATACTTTCTAAAGTAACTCGAAACTGCGG